ATTGACACGGCGGACTCCTTGCAATTTCACCTCTCGATTCATTTCCACCACTGTAGGTTCCGTGCATTGCTCTTTCCGTGGATTCAGAACAATAGGATTGACCATTGGATATTACTACTATTATTATTCTCTGGCTCGGCCTATTTATTTTTCCTGATTCCTCAGCCTTTGGTTTTGCCATTTAACGCATTTTCTGACCGTCTCACCCATGGAGCATAAACGTGACGCTACCGTGGCGGGCTTGGTTTGGCCTTCGAATCCCAACCGTGGACTCGCTTCCACAGCCCTTGATCCAGTGTCAGATGGCCAGGCTTCTGAACTATGTCACTCTATCGCCCCTGACCATACGACCTCGACCACCTCGGCACCTTCGGCAGCTGACACTACAACCAACGACATCGGAACCACGCCCCACACCGATACATACTCAGGCCCTGCACTTCCTGATGTTCCGTTCCCGACTGAGCCAAGTCCTACCTACAACTTCTTCCATCGTGGTCACTTCTCATCACGCGTGGTCCACCAGATCCACTTCAAGATCATTACCCACTCCAACAATACCAGGGAGTTATTCATCGAAGAGATCCCCATGTCGGGGCTCTCCAAATGTCGTGATCCCGAGCACTACTTTTATGGTCTTTCGGGCAATTGGGAGTGGTCCCTGCGCACTGCGGATTATTGGCGCCATTACTTTGAAATTCCTGTAGTACATGGGCACCATCCTTTTCACAATGTTCCCATTGAGACCACTTCTCCTACGGAGGCAACCCGCTTAACTACGAAGATCCAGGAGCTGGCCAAACAACTTTCAGCCACTTTGACGGCCGCTATGGCATCTGGGGAAATCAACGACACGTGGAGGATGGTTGAAGGCATGAGCTTCCGTGACGCGATCCAAATACTTCAACTCGAAGCGAATTTCCCTTCTGAGTGAATGACCGCGGCTATGTACACTAGCACCGTGTAGCCTTATTGGATTTGAGTGGTTCTGCTGACCTCAGCCGCGATGTTCTTCCAAAATAATCAAACCCCGCTACATGCGGTGTGTGTGTGTGTGTAACATCTGAACAGATGTAAAACTTCTTTTGTTCTAATCTTTTCACATTTGCAGGGGGATGGAGAGGACATATGAGGCTCCATCCAACGAAGCTCCTCATATGATCCTAGGATATCACCAGGGACGCCTGGTGACGTACCTGCAGTTCGAATTTTCTGGAATAGCATGGGGCCAAGCTAAGAACCCCAAAGACGAACATGATACATTTGCACGGTTGTCACAATCTGAACTTCACGTCGTGTCGCATCAGAACCTTCCTCAGAGCAAGGACGTAGAAAACATTTTTGTAACATTTTGTTTACATGATCGCCGACAACATCGTCGCCGACATTATTTATTCATTTATTGGCTAATCTTCGCCGAGACATCGCCGATGATAGTATTGCTGGTTTATTTATTCTTTGTGATGTCGATTCTGAACCCGATGACCATTCTGAAGTACTTCTATTATTCGTAGAATGCATCGGTAATTTCATTGTTTCGTATCTAATCTGCATGTTTCAGGATTCAGTTCCTGCCGGATCATATAATGATCCATTCTTGTCTAGTGTGTGTGTGTAACATCTAAATAGATGTAAAACTTCTCTCTCTTTTTCTTCCTTTGTCCTCTCCCTTTCTAATTCTAAATTCAATGCAGGGGGCCACCGGGGTCCCGGGGGGGTCGGTGGCCACCGAAGACACCCCCCCGGGACCCGTGTAAACGTACCTGCATTATTCGTAGGATGCATCGTTAATTTCATTGTTTCGTATCTAATCTGCATGTTTCAGGATTCAGTTCCTGCCGGATCATATAATGATCCATTCTTGTCTAGTGTGATTTCCATGGTGGATCCGACATGGTGCCATGGAGCCATTTGAGGCAACCCTCTTCAGGGTGAGTGTTGACAGTCTTGAATTCTGAATTCACACATTTTAACTTAGTAATTCGTCTAAGTAAAGGGCAACAATCAGCCTTGCGGTTTTCCAGCCTTTTGAGGTTGTCCCGCTGCTCTTGTGGTCCCAGGGATTACTCGCCAATGCGTTTCTTCAAATGTGAAGCCGTGCCGAACTTCAGAAACCTCCTTTTTTCGCAGCTGCTTTTGACGATCCATGACAACAGCATTGGATACAGGAATCAGGCAGGCACATGACTTTCAGGTGTGGTGTTTCTTTCTTTTGATGGTTGTCTGGTGAGGTTAAACATTTTGTGCATCTAATTCGATGGAACTTGAAAGCCGTTTTATGCCCTTGTGGCTGACTGGAACACGGGCCTGGATTGGCACAACGCACGATCTGTAGGTTTAGGAGCTGAATCCTGTCTTTTATTAATTGTTTTGGTTTCTTGCCTGTCATTAACTAGTCCCCCATTTGGTCCCTAATTTTCCCCGCGTGCCTCTCCGTAATGTGTCGTGGGGTTTAGGTGTGTGCGCTGTTTTTGGTCAGGTCCGTTTCGCCGTGTAGGTTGGTTCCGGAGGTCCGTCTGTTCCCCTCCCCCCCCTGCGCTGTTTTTGGCCGTTTGCCCGTCGTGTGTCCGCTTTTTTCTTCCTCTTGCCTTTCAGGGTTGACCCGGCTCCGGCCGGGTGTGTGTGTGTAACATCTAAATAGATGTAAAACTTCTCTCTCTTTTTCTTCCTTTGTCCTTTCCCTTTCTAATTCTAAATTCAATGCAGGGGGCCACCGGGGTCCCGGGGGGGTCGGTGGCCACCGAAGACACCCCCCCGGGACCCGTGTAAACGTACCTGCATTATTCGTAGGATGCATCGTTAATTTCATTGTTTCGTATCTAATCTGCATGTTTCAGGATTCAGTTCCTGCCGGATCATATAATGATCCATTCTTGTCTAGTGTGTGAACCATCTGAAGAGATGTAAAACTTCTAAGTTTCGCAGGGGGCCCATGGGCACTTGGATGGCACGGGCCAACGAAGACCCGTCCAAGTTTCTGTGCAAACGTACCTGCAATTTTTGAATCGTGATGGGGTGTGGCCAACCCAAAAACCATTATGCCGTTTTTCAACGAGAATCACATCAGGATTTTTGAATTCAGCACATGAACGGATGAAGGTGACTTCTCATTTATCTTTCTTCACAGTCGGCGCAATCTGAGACTGCGGTGAATCCCTTGTCCACTCCAATTTTCTGCTGATATTTCGGAGTTTCTCCTGGCTTCTATTGATTTTATTCATTCTTCAAGGTGGCGACGAAAGAATTTTCCTTTCAGTCCACACCAAACACCCTCCTGTTCCTGTCAGGTGTAACTGGATTGTTTTTGCACGTGAGATGCGCTCCACAACAGAATTCTCAATGACAGTTCTGAGCAAGTGTGTGTGTTTGTGTGTGTATATACTGTACACTGAACTTTCTGAAGGGGAAGCTGCCTACTACTGCCTACTTGACATGAAATATTTGATGATGGAATACACATTTGAATGCAGTCATTCCTGCTTGCAAATTCTTCGAAGTTCCAGGATTCAAGATAGTGATCGAGGGACCTGGATCAAATTTGAAGCTCCCAGAAACCAAAACCGATGCTTTCAAGCTCCCAGAAACTATTCATGAATTATTTTAAACTTCGAGAAGTAAAAAGAAAAAATGAAGTTCCGCTGGGTTCAGATTGTTCTCTTCATAAAATAGTGTTTTTGAAAAGGGCATGGATCCAAATGCTGACGTCGATCCTTTTTGACTTGCAATGGATGAGAATGATGACAAAGTGGTTTTTGAAGTGCTATTAAAGTAAATATGTCAGTATATAGAACCAAATTCGGTTATCTACAAATATATCTCTCTTTTAAGACTTACTTATGATAAACATAATTGAAATCTTTGAAAAGGTAGGCACTGGAGGGGCCGCTTAGCATATATATATATAGTATTTGTATCAATGTAATCATATATAAACGTGAAAGTGTATATATGTAAATATGTAGATATGTTATATATACAAATGTAAAGCTGTATATGTATCTATATGTCTATATGTAAACATATACATATTTATACAAATGTAAATATGTATATATGTATGTATGCAGGTAGGTATGTATGTAATGTACTGTACTGTAATGTAATGTAGTGTAACGTCATGCAATGTAATGCAATGTAATGTAATGTAATGTATTTTCTGTATGTATGAATGAATGCATGTTATGTTATGTCATGTTTTGTTATGTTATGTCATTTTATGTCATGTTATGTGTGTACGGTATGTAAGTATGTATTTATGTTAATGTAATGTAATGCAATGTCAGTGAAATGGTAATGTAATGTTAATGTAATGTTAATGTAATGTTAATGTAATGTAATGTAGCGTAGTGAAATGACATGTAATGTTAATGTAATGTAATGTAATGTAATGTAATGTATGTACATTAGTATATGTAGATAGTATGTAGATAATATGTAGATAATCTGTAGATAATCTGTAGATAATTTGTAGCTAATATGTAGATGATATGTGGATAATACGTAGATAGTATGATAATAGGTATATACCTATATACCTTTAAATGTAAATTTGTAAATATGTATATATGTACAAATGTATATATGTAAAAATGTATTTGTGTATATGTGTGTATTTGTGTATATATGTATATGTACGTGTATATGTAGATATATGTAAATATGTATTTATGTACATGTGCATATATGCAAATGTGGATATATGTAGATATACATAGCTCTGCATACATATATACATATATGTATATATGTATATATGTATATATGTATTTATGTATTTATGTATTTATGTATATATGTATATATGCAAATATGTATATATGTATATATGTATATATGTAAATATCTATATCTATATCTATATATATGTATGTATAAATGCGATATATATATACACATGTATATATGTATAAATGTATATATGTATATTATACCGGTTGGCATCAGTAGGACACATTCCTAGTGTTTTTTTGTGTCCATGAGACCATGGAAAGATCGGCAAGGACTACGAAATGCATGCGATCTGCTTATGGGCTCCACTGGATTCAGTGCAACAGCGGGGAAACCAACGCTCATTGAAGGCCTGCGCGATGTCAACGCCATGTTTGCGACATGCACAATGTGGAGATCTGGAGTGGTTTCAAATATATGGGAGATTCCGGGAAGTTTTCAACCAAGAACGGGAGCTCTGAACGGCTGGTTTTACAATGTCTTGAATATCCAAGCAGCCAACAACTGGAGTTACTGCAAGGGGATATGTATATATATATATGTACACATATATATGTAGAGAATCAAGTGAGTGCTGGTTGGTTATCTCAGTTGAATTTGTCCAATTGAAAGTGTGAGAACATGTGTCACCACAGAGCCACAGACCAACTGGGTCCCCCACATGGCCAGGCTGGAAAAGCATTTACTCCGAAATTTCACACGCCAAGCTGACTCTTGGCTCCACTCTCTTGAGGTGCTGGAAAGACTGCATCAAATCGGCGGGGACATGTTACTTTCTTGAATTCAGTATCAAAACGAAGAACAGATTTAGAGGAACATGACAATTTACACCATACTAAAAAGAAACAACCATCAGGGAGGTTTTAGTGTAAATTTTCATTCGACCAATTCCGTGAAGACTCAGGTGCAGGTTCCTTGGAGTTTGGGCGACATTTTGACCTGAAGATCCGGGAGGGATGTCGTCACTATTGTAGTGGCTGGACCTGCAAATGGGCCTCAACTCTTTAGCGGTGGTTGGGGTGGTTGGTAAATGGATGTTTTGTAGGCTTTGGAGTTCTCCCCCAAAAAGATTGAGCAGCAAAAATCATTATCAAAGTAGTGGGAATTGCTCTTCCATTTTTTGTTGAGACCTGCATGGATCTATGGATCTACAGCAGCCCAGGTCTTATTTGCTACGACAACACAGTGAAGCCTAGTCACCCTGACTCTCGGCAGCATGGGCATGGATCAAATGTGCTGCACAGCATTGGAGATGAAAGCAATACGACGCGCACCCAGAAGACCAACGATAGGTTCCAAAGTCTTGAGACCCACTTCACAAATAAGCATATATGTACAGTATACACATATGTGTATTGTATAATGTATATATATATATATATATATATGTACACATAGTTGAGATATATCAGGATGAACTATAAAGGCCTCACTGCGATGCCACTGAAATGGTGGTCAAGAAGGGGAATACCCAAATGGCCTTATCAGTATTTCAGGTTGGTGCATTATTATGATGTATCCAGATATATGTAGATTCGCATATACATGATATGGATTAATATGTATATATATACATATATATATATATGTTCCCGGTTCCCGGTTCGGTAGCCCCCCCCTCCCCCCGATGGTATGGTACCCCCCTTCCCCCAAATAAATCTACCATTTGCATCATTTCAGAGTCAGGGCCTCCCATTTGCATGCTATTTGCAGCATTTCAGAGCAACAACCTTCCACTTGCAACCTATTTGCAGGATTTAAGAGCCGTATACTTCCTACAAAATATCTTGGTACTAACTATGTACTACCTGCATGCTACCTACGTATTAGCTATATACATCTATGTGTATTTCTTTTCCACGTATCTACGACCAATAGGATACCTATGTAACTACTCGTATGTAATCCTACTATTTGTTCTATACTATATATTACTCATTGCGTGCGTGTATGCAACACACACACACATATATATATATATATCACTCATAGCGCCTATACACTACCTCTGTCCTATTCATCTACGACTGATAAGCTGCATCAACCCCCCCAATCCCCCCCACCCCCCACACCACAGGGGGAGGGGGCAACCACATACACTGCCTAGATACCTCATACTAATGATAAATATGTACATCTATGTGTATATTTGTATATGTATGTATAGTACCTACATATTCTATATACTTGCTACCTGTAATACCAAATCTCTACTTATTTACTACCTATACACTGCCTATATACTACCTATACAACACGATTACAAATAGATAGACACTACCTATGTACTACATGCATACTATCATATGGCACTTATGTACCACTGACTGTATTTGGATGCACCAGCTATCATATATTCCCAATACAGCAAATGCACCCCCCCTTCCCACCCCAACCCACACCCACAGGGGGGTGGGGGGGATACCATGACCATGGGCGGGGGAAGGGGGGGACCCAGAACCTGGAACATATATACAGATATATAGATAGATACTACCAAGCTTATTGATTCTGTTGCTTGCCCTTTGAACTCAGCTGCAAGGGGCAAGCGTCTTTGTTCTGGTGCAGAACCACAAAGAAACAGATACACATGTAGAGACGCACAGACCCAAAATTCATCAATGTGCACTAGCTTTGCTTAGAAAAACATTTTTTGTGTGTTTCATGTTTCAAGTATTTCTTTGCTGCACACTCTATGGACTTTGGTGGCTCACCCAGGTACACTTGGTAGAGTTCGAGCTGGGCCCTTGGAGCCCCTGTCCCCTGCACATTGGCGCCATGTTTTTGGCCGATTTGTTCTGTGAATAGTAAATGTAGTAACTGTATTGCGTGCCTTTGGACCGATTGCAGGGCAGTGGTTTCCATAAAGAAAAAGCAACACAGGAAACCGAGCATTGCCGTTTTGAAGGTTTTAGACCATCGATGCTTGTTCAAGCTTGCCCATTGCCCATGGTATTTTGAGTGGAGTTGGAAGTATGTCGTGCTGAGGCACCTGATCAAGATGGGCCCAGAGGAAACCAAGGAACATATCAGAAACTGCATGTGGCTCGGTGTGCACAATGGATTCATCCAGTAGAAACGATCAGAGGATAGAGCTTGGGCGTGTGTCAAGAGCTTCACAACTTCTGTTTTTTCCAGACTCCTCCTCATGTTTGTCCAGGTTGAGTGCATCCAATCAAGTTGCAGTGCAACAGTGATGAGATAGTTAGCATGGAATTCACAAGGACTTGTCTCACCATTGCAAAACCTAAGAATCGACTGTACTGCACTACTCTTTCACTGGATTCTGTTTGCCGCAACACTGGCGATGGACCAAGTAGCATCCATGGTATGCGGATGTTTGGACCCCCTATATTGTCTATCAACTGCAGCTACAAACATTTTCTGGAACACCAAGATTTGCCAACAAGATGCAGCAAGATGGATAAGCATGAGACTGGTGATAGCGCACCATAATTTTGCCACCATTTTGGATAAGTGAGTCATCTACCAAGGCTCGCAAGAGCTGCGTATATGATCGAGCACGGTGGATCTAGAGCAGCTCGATGGATCGGAGTCATGCTGGGGACCATCGGTTGATGCAGGGACATTTACCCATGTTAAAGGGCAACCAATCGAAAGGGAAACATGTTTTGGGCCCCCCGAGGGATGATGTACAAACATGTGAACGGTAGCAGAATGAAGAGACCCATTCCCCTAACACTGCTTGGACAGTTTCGAATGCGACGCCTATGCTTTGAGGCTTTTATTTGGTTTGATCCATGAGACCCGGGCAAGATGTTCCCAATGGTTCCCATAAACCTCCCTCGACGGGCGAAGCAAACGTGACCAATTTCCACGGACCTGGATTGCCCCGCTGATTCTCCAGGCTTCTTCAGACATTGCATCGACCCCACTTTTGGTGTTGCCCACATCAAACACCAGCCACTCTTCTGGAATGAAAAAGCAGGAGAATGAAGAAAAAGTGGGATAACGCATTTTGCTGAAGTATGAAGGAGGCATCCAAATCACAGGGAAATGTACGCGGCCTGCTGCTGTTAAAGAGTTGTTTGGAGAGCAGGGGTGCTTATAATTTTTCCATATTCTTGCACGATTCAAGAGCTTGAACACATCACTTTCTCAAGGGGCTTGTCCAAGAATAGGGGATGGGCGGGTAACTGCCACGGAAATATGGGGAACTGAGTTTCGCCATGAAATTTTGGGGTAGTCTTGATGTTTCAACAGTGTTGACCGTCCGACAGCTAAGGTGATCGGCTGCCTCCGTTTGGCTGTCTTGGCAGCATGTTGCAGGCGCTACCGAATTCTTGGCCAAACATATGATGGGGGAATACGGTATTTTAACATGGCGATGAGTGGGGAACCTGCTCTTATTTTTTTATCTAACTGTGCTGTGAAATGGGGAAGTCGAATCTCCTGCTGAGGGTTAGAGCCTTGTTGAAACAGTAAGAGACTCGATATAGGATGACCTATGGCTAGTGGAATAGCAACAGGACCCAATGCATCCTTCGAGGATTTGGCTTGTTCGTAGCTTGTGAAGCTAGGAAATCAGAGCTCCAAAACCCCAAAAGGCAAAAATCTGTCCAACACAGGGACACATGTCAATACCGTCAATACCGTCAATACCCATAGGATCCCAAAGCACCATTTTTGGCGGTATGGCATCGACTCCCCGGCGATTTTGTGGGAATGCAAACGCTCGAGAGATGCCATGGCTGCCATGTCCCCGCAATTTTTTTGGGAAGGGTCGAAGGGCTTTACACAAATGTGTGGGAATGAATTCTGTTGTGTGGTGGTGACAATTGCATGGAGAATCATCAGATATGATTACGCAAAGCGACTTCTTTTCAGATCTTTTCAGAAGGCCATTGATTAGAATGGTTGTACTAGTTGTACACGCATATCCTTTGCTCCTTTGTGGATTGTAAACCCACAGTAAAATCGCTAGTAGTGATTAGCCATTTTCATAGGATTGGAAAGTGATCCGTGGTCTTGGAAGGTTGATGCTTTGAGATGGGTGTTGGAATAGATTTCTGGCGCAGAACACCGGGTCCAAGAGATTCCTGGTGACCAAATGTCGTGAGTTCACTCGGAATTGGAAACTTTTGCCAGCTTGCACTGGTGATGCTGCTCGGACTGTGTCGCTTGGTCTGTTTCTAATGCTTGGAGCCAAGGGTACTGACACCAGTTGTGGTGCTCTGAGTTTGGTTCTTTTGATCTCATGGTTTGGCGTTGCAAACACAGCCCCCTTGTGCTTGGTCGCCCATCAACGCCGGTGCTTTGGTGTTGAGATTTGGTTGGATTTCTGACGGAAGTGAGCTTGTTTGCCTCCATTGCGAGGGTCCTTCGTTTGATCTGGGATGCTCGTCACGGTCGAGGTGAGACTCTCTGACCTTTCATCTGCTGGATCTCGTCCCTGGGTTCTTTTGGGATCGCCCTCCGGTTGTTTGGTGACTGAGGCTGTCTGGTTGCGGGTGGTCCGTTTGGGGGGCCAGGTACGCTTCAAACTACTACTACTACTACTACTACTGCTGCTGCTGCTGCTGCTACTGCTCCTGCTACTGCTGCTGCTACTGCTACTGCTACTGCTCCTGCTACTGCTCCTGCTCCTGCTGCTGCTGCTACTGCTACTGCTACTGCTACTGCTCCTGCTCCTGCTCCTGCTCCTGCTGCTGCTGCTACTGCTACTGCTACTGCTACTGCTCCTGCTGCTACTGGCACTGCTACTGCTACTGCTACTGCTACTACTACTACTGCTACTGCTACTGCTAATGCCACTGCCACCACCACCACCCATTTTCACTTTGTGGTTTGGGGGATTAAAACCCCACTAATCAATGGTAGGATTGGCCACCTTCCAACCAGTCTGCTGACAGGCAGCAGTTCGCCGGGGACGACGACAAGGTCTCCTTTGCGGGCTCTTTTTGGCGCCTTAGACTTTTCATATTGAGGATGGGATAATTTTAACCACTCCAAGTATACATATATATATATATAATCTATGTATATACATATATATATATAATCGATGTGTATATATATATGATACATAGTATATATATATGATATATAGTATATATTATAATCTATGTATATATATAACATGATATATATATATATAACATGATATATATATATAATATGTATATATATATATATAGATTTATTTTCCTGTGAAAAGGTAAAGAACCATGGGCCCTGATGCCGAAGACCTTCCCTTAAATCCAGGGTATGATACTATGGGTCCAGCGTCTCCTTTTCATTTACCACTTGTGAAGAACATGTAAAGAACATGGACGATGGAGAGGATGAGGATGGAGAGGATGGAGAGGATGGAGAGGATGGAGAGGATGGAAAGAACAGACTTAGCCGCCCTCGGCAACCAAGGCCTTGGTGTTTTTTTCTCCCTTACTCTATTGGATATGACTTGCAGAGCCTCGGACGATTTGGACAGGTCAGACATGCAGTTTTCATGGTTCAAGTGCTTAGAAGGGTGCCTGCAGAACCATGCAAACACAAATTTGTGGGGAGCAGAAGACTGAGTAGACCGGAGAAGAACCCAAGTTTGGACCCAAGTGTTGCGATTCAAACTCGACCAAGGCAGCTGGGTCATATAGGCAGAGACCTCCACTGCCGGATGAGAAGCCCATCTTTTGAATGTTCTTCGTGACCTTTTTATGACCTGAACTTGTCAGGAGAGGCTCTTTTTGGGAAGTGACAGCAGTTGACAGCCCCAAAACTGGATTGAGTGTCAAATGTGCCTTTGGGAAAACAAAAGGCAACGAATGCTGTTTTGCTGATTAGACGTGTGACATTCTGTAAGACATGCGTTGTTTTGCACCCCAGCAAACGTGGTGGTGTTTGACAGCTTGAAACTCGAGGCAACGATAGCAATAATTCCCAATTTTGCCAAGTTCAAAGATCAAAGCAGAAAAGAAAGCTCATCCAAGTTTGCATCCTGCAACATTCAAACATGCGTCCTTTTATCCAGGACTCAACCATCTGAGTGTTTGGGAAGTCTTTCCCAACTTCTTTTTCTGGTCTCCATTCTGGCCGAAGTCTACCTCAAATGAGCTCGAAAAACCCCGATGCTTTCTGTTGGGATTTTCTGCCGGGCTTCTGGCAGTTTTCTGAAATGTGGTTGTCTCAAAATTTGAACACCACAATTTTTTAGTGATCATCAAAATTTCTGGTAGCCCCCATATTTTGCAAGACTTTGGCCGGAATGTTACGCTATTATGTAGACCTCTCTACGCACAAGTGGGACATTTACCCGCGCGAGCAGTGACCAAATCATTTTAATGAGTCAATATACAGGGCTAATAAAATTTTGAACCACCATCGGGAATCCATATCAACAGCAGTGTAAAGTGATGATTTTTGGACACTGCTTGATATGAACAACCGCAAGCTATCGCTATTGGGGAAATATATACCCCACACTTCTCCGCTCTCGGAGAGCCCCTGTGCCCGGCATCCGATTTCCTTGGAGCTTCGTTTTTTTTTCGAAATGTTTTTTCCTTGTGTTCCAGCCGAAATCAGAGATGATAAGTAATAAGATTCATTTTGGCGTGGGTTTTGAGTCTCGAAATATCTGAAGTTGGGATCTGACAGATTTTTGATGATTTTGATGATTTTGATGATTTTTGATGATTTTTGTCCGTGTTTCCACGGACAACTTGCGACTCATTTGTCTCTGAAACTCCATTCCAAACATGGTCGATGTGATGCGATACAACATCTCCTTGGCCGATTCCTTCTCTGTCAGAAGTGGACGAAAAAAGGTCCGGTCTTTGGGAAATTCTGGATGGTCTCTAGAAAACTGGTAGCTGGTGGTGGCATACGGCATATGCCTCAATAGCGTTGGCAGAGGACATTTCATTGAACTCAACATTGGCTCTGAAGCAAGATTTAGTGAAGACGATCTTGCCAGCCTCACCTTGACAGCTCCAGCAACGAGCTCAGGGTGTGTGAATTGACAAGTCCAATTCACTTCACAGGGCTTTTGAAATGTACTATACCATTTGAACATCACCAAACATTTGGGGTATCGCTACCAATAACTCCCAAAAATGGGACGTTTTCCTACCCGTCACTCATTTGCATTTTTTTGCTGCTGAATTCTATTTGAGGTGAAAGCTTGACTTAGATTGTAAGCTGTAGCGTGCAAATTTCCCACTTGTCGCTTGATGAATATAGGGATATCCATTTTTACAAACCACTGGTAAATGACCCATAGGGATATCCATTTTTACCATTAATATAGGGATATTAATATAGGGATATCCATTTTTTGCAAACTGACCCATCTACTTTTCCCAAATCGCAGACAAGGATCTGTCATGGCCGCCTTGCTCTTTGCCATCTATGTTGTCAGTGCCCTCGCTGCGCGGTCTGGCAAAGGAGGTTGGGGCATGTTGCCCATGTCCGGTGTTCTTGGGAAGCCACAAGATGGGCAACTGCCACAAGATGGGTTTGGGAGAATATCGCAGATCTTTCGCGGATGCAACCTGTCCAGGCCCTAGCAGTCTTTCCTCGCTGGGCCCGCCAATGGACGAGGCCTAGTATTGTCAATTGCATGCCTGGACTCTGGTGGGTTCAGTGGCTTACAGTGAGTCACTACGCGCATGTACGTGCATCAGCAAAATGATATGTGAGAGAAAATCACGTTCCAAAACCGCAAAATTTGTCAAACTTTCTGTCAAAGCAGCTGTAGCTGTAGCGTTGCTTAGGCATTTGGCTAGTGCCTGTGCTAAGGCTGCCTGGCAGGGCATTAAGATCACTGATGTGATGCCTGGCTTTCGTGTGAAGGCCCTGTGGGTGGCATGAACGGCTCTGGGTGTTTGGCTTTGGCCCACAGAGGTTTAATGTTCTTTTTGGGATCCCAGTTTTGAGCGGAACCCACAAACTGGTCAAAAGATGGGGAGCCCAAAAACAAGAATGCATGCGCAGGGCTCATGGGGAGAGAACCTGAGTGCATTCTGCCTGTTGCTGTTCGCATGTTCTGAAGAATGCTCTGATGGGAACGGCCCAATAATGAGCAGAAAGACTAGCGTCCAGCAAACAAACATGGCAAAAGAAGACATCCTTTGTCAAACATGTTTTTCATAGGATCATCAGATATTCATCTGCAAATTTGCGATTCTCAATTGCCAGAGTAGCAGAGTAGATCTGAGGAGATTGATATATCGATGGCGCATATATTTATATATATAATTATATATATATAATGTATATATACGGGGCAGATCGGGGCAAGTCTTCCTGTGCCTTTTACACTTTGAAGCCAGTTGAGCTCAGCTCATTTGAGTTTTATTTTTCAGGACCTGAAGCTTGCGACGAAGTGCTCCAGACAGGCGGCTCCATCAGCTAACGATCATTCCTGCCTTTCTAGCCAAATTTGCGACATCTAACGATCCAAAAAGGCAGTCCTTTGAAAGGCCATGATTTCTCCGCGATGCAGTTTTTTTCAGGCTATGCAAGTCACAGATATTGATCATCCTGTCAACCCTTAATGCCAATAAGGAGTAATAACTGCCGGCCTGTATCCAGGGGTACCACTTTGTTGGCAAATGAACATTGTTTTGCGGGGAACCTCCTAACCAACCATGGTTTATTGATGTGGGGCATGTGTCGACCTTTTTGGAATTGGTGGAAGCAGCAGGGGATATGTTAGACACATATTGTTATTATTGTTGTTGTTACCAGTAGTACCGCACAAGGCGGTGGCGGAAGTTTCAAAAATAGGAAACCTATAGGAGAGCTTGGTTGTTGTGAATCCGGGATGGCAGAGCGAAGCCACTGATGGACTGAAAGGTGCTTGATCTCTCTCACTCTTTCTCTCTCTTTCTCTGACTATCTACCTACCTACCTATCTATTTTCTATGTATCTATCTATCTATCGATCTTCCTAGTGTAGTGTAATGTAGTGTAGTGTAATTTAGTGTAGCGGTGTGTACTGGAGTGTAGTGGAGTGTAATTGTGTAGTTCTGTAGTTGTAGTTGTAGTGTTGCGGAGTGTAGTGTAGTGTAGTGTAATGACCCGAAGCGAAGCAAAGCGACATCTGAACCTCCAAAAGTGGTCCGAACCCCTAGTGTTTTGTAAATTTTGACTTCGAAATGTGCTTCGCGCTACAACGGCGTGCACTTTTTCGAGATCTGAACCTCCAAAAGTGGCGCGAACATGTGGTGTTTTGTACATTTTGACTTCGACATGTGCTTCGCGCCACAACGGCGTGCACTTTTTCGACATCTCAACTTCCAAAAGTGGTCCGAGAATGGTGTGTTTTGTACATTTTGACTTGGAAATGTGCTTCGCGCCACAGCGGCGTGCACTTTTTCGACATCGCAACTTCCAAAAGTGGTCCGAACCTGGTGTGTTTTGTACATTTTGACTTCGAAATAGGCTTCGCGCCACAACGGCGTGCACTTTTTCAACATCTCAACTTCCAAAAGTGGTCCGAACCCCTCAGTTTTTAACACATTTTACTTCCAAATGTGCTTCGCGCCACAACGGCGTGCAACTTTTCATCTCTCATCTCCCCAGATGTCTCCGCACCCGCCGCTTTAGCGAGCCTACTTTTCAACCCTCCGGAGCCACAAAACCACGAAAAAATACAGTGTTTCGCGACTTTCCTACCTTTTCGCGCACCTGCATCTTCTTTCTTCTGATCTTTTCTCTTCTGACTCTTCTCCCTGCTGACTGCTTTTTCATCTCTCCATATTGTCGGAAGTTTGACTTCCAAACTTCCTTCTATTATTAATCCTTTCCTCCTAATACTACCCCCCAATTAATAAACACCTCAGGTAGCTTTTAGTATTAGGGTGGTATTTATTATTAGGGAACCCTATTAATAAAATTAAACCCTTTATAATAAAAACTATTTTTTCCGATCTCAAAATCAATTAAATTTCCTTATATAACGCAATTAAACTATTGCCAGAAATTGGTGTTCGAAGCGGGCCCTAATAAGAAATTCAAAGCCCTAATATAAAAAACTAAAAAAATTGGACGGACCCTAATAATAAACACCCCGGGGTTAACTGGTTTTTAGTATTAGGGGGCAAAACCCACAAATAGTAACTTTATTCTTAAATTGTTTTCTAAAGGGGATCAATTAAAAGTCAAATTGGCCAATGTTTTCCGAAATTGGAGATGGACCCCTGTTTTTAGTATTTGGGGGACGTTTAGTAATAGGGGGAAGGGATTTTATAATTAATCATATATACATAATTCATTATATGTATATACACATATATATATAATTAATTAATTCCGTAACTAATTAATTAATTAAATCAATAAATAAGTAAATAAATACATAGATAAACTAATGATTTATATGCATCTATATTTGATATCTGTATTATTATATCTTGCTCAGGTGCGTCGCGGTGATGCAGTCCGTGTCTTTCTTCGGGCGCAGACGGGTCCGCAGCATGAAGAGGCCAGAAACATTGCAAAAGCTCCTAGAAGTACCTGCCCCTGATGCTTCAAGGTACTTCTAGATTCCAGGTGCAGGACAAAATATTTGTACTTTTAAAAAGTGATACTATGATCTTGAAATCTGCTTTCTTAACGTGATTACATGTGATTATCTGTTGATGACATGTTTTTTTTCATTTTTTTGTTGCATCATCATCCGCTTTTCTTGGTGTCCCATTGTCATAAACAACCACACTGTTGCCCTCCCCTGCAGCAAGCCACTTCAAAAGACGATGCCGAGCAGAATTTCATCGTGGGCAACTCGCTGGGCTTAGCTCTTCGACTGACTTCAAGCTGTGAAGGATAGTTTCTTTGAACATTTTGCCATTTGATCTAAGGAAATTCATTGATATTTGATGTTTGATATTTGATATTTGGGAATCCAAAGGATCCCAGCTTTTGACAAGGAAATGGATGGAACTGGAATGATATTTGATCATTGGCTAAGAGGAAAGTTACCTCACAATGTACTGGATATCTATCATCCCAAAACTAGCACTACTTCAAGATGTCAGTTTATGTGTCTCTGGAATCGGAAAGACGTGTACCGCACCCCACCTCACCTCATACAGAATGATTGGGAAGATGTTGAGATCCTGCATGAAAGCATTGAAGACTTCGGGATGCTCTGCCAGGATCCAACTCTGATTGAGACATGATTTTTTGGTCGGTTGCAGGCATAGCATCCCTGCGATCAACAAAGGAATGATCGGCATGTGCCCAGGACACAACTGTTTCCGCAGTGCTTGCCTTGGTCCTGTGTTCTCCCTTTTTTAAACATGTTTTAGCTGGCTGAGTTTGGGATTAGAAAAATAGCAAACTCTTGGGTTTGCCGTGTGAGTTCATTTCATGCTGGTGGGTTTGCCAGGAAGTTTACGCCGGATCACCGTTGAATCCCATGCTATTGACTACATGGTCAACCTCACGGAGATTGAGAGCGGGAGCCTTGAGAAGGGAAACAGCGAAAATGGCTGCGTTACTTCTCAGTCTTCACATGTCTTCACACCTTTTTCTCTGTAGGTTTTGGATTCTGTTGCTCTCAAGGTGGGAGAATGACTTTTTTTGTGTTGAGAATCCCCAATCCACTTTTTCTTTTTTCCCACGGAGAGGTTGTCCCAACCAGCAACCAGATGACCAAAGACAAGGTGGACCATTGCGCATCAAGGAGGCCCTTTGATGAGCCGCATGGTGCGCGAAAATGGTCACTAGTATATGGGCTTGCCAGATACAAGGTGGAGAAGTGCAGAAGAGCTGTACAATCAGGTTTGTTGATGTTTTTATGTTATGATTCAATCATATGATCATACAATACTGTTTACTGTTTACTCATTCTATACATGACTTACTGTAGGTCTCGGACTGATGTTTCCCTTGCTTTGATTGTTGGATATCAACTGCTTAGAAAACGATTCTTGTTTCCCAAGTTACCCTTGCTCTCAGAGGCTTTTCCAAGGCTGGCAGATCTCTTGGTCTCACGATTTACAGATTTTGTGAATCGGTGACCTGCATAGTTTCTGGAGCGAAGCACAGGGATTTGTTGCTTCGCTGCCACTTCCTGCTCGTGTCTGAAGAGAAGGGAGCACAAGATTTTCCAAAGTCCTTGGAAAGCCGATGTGCACAGGGGGATCATACATGATCATATGCCAGGATACTGGTTGAGCCTTCTTTCAGCTGCTGTCCAAGAAAGAATCCATGCTGAATCTGAGCTCCCAGAAGCTCCTGTGCTCTCTTCCAACGCGAGTCAGTTTCGTTGCTCTGGGTTGTTCTGGCGCGCAGGAGAATGTGCACAGCCTCCTGGGCAGGTCGTGGGGGACCTGCCAATCCGCTCCGAGTGATCGACAAAGTGGGTTTGTCCCCAAAACATCCCAAAATCAAGTGGTTTGTCATTTTCCCCACTTTTTTGATGACCATACAATGGGGCATTTTTCATCATTAAAGCTGCAATCGGACAAATCCCGAAAATGGTCCCTGAGGCCATTCGAGCGCAGTAGTCATATACCGTAGCTGTTTCAGCCACCCGCTTTCAGATGAAGGAGACGAAAAAGCTGGGAGCGAAGGAGCAATACCCTGATCGCTGGTGGATTTTTTTTTCTAATTATATCTATATAGGGTTAATCCGCTGGTTCAGGGAGGGATTATAATGAATTCAGGAACCCCTGTTGACCAAGCGGGGTTATGATTCTGGACTCCGGACTCGGTGATCAGAGGAGAAGTCTTTGTGTTGGCTCTGCCTGTAGGTCCAATCTGCAGCTGGTCGCCTACCAAGGTGTGGAAGTTTGCTGTGGAAACGGGACACTTCCAACGGAATCCAGAGCAATAAAAAGTACAGATGACTCAGGTGAGTATACACCCTAGTTCCTGCGCCACGCAGAGTTTACAATTTGCAGACACCTGGAAGGTTTGAGGGTTTTCCTATGTTTTTCCTTTTTTTTGTGACATGCACTTCTTCGTTTGGGCCATTCGATTGTGTTGGATCAGCTAGTTCCCCGATGAAGGACCTGCATGACCTATTGTGTCACCAGCCAGGTCTGTGGTTGTTCAAGAGCTGGCAGCCAAATGCCTGCAGCTTGCGGGAAAGAAGTAGCGGAAGTAGCGGAAGTAGCTCCAACATGGGCGTCCAGGTTGGATAGCTTCCACATGGGATGGTCAAACACTTGACTTATTAGAATATAACAAATGGCAACTTAATAATCTAGGTTTCCCTGGATAATCATTCTTGACCCGGTCCCATGTAGCTCAGTGCTACTGTAAAAAGAAGGACCAGGTTGCGCAAAACTTGCTCCAGTGCTGAGGGGCTATTGGGCACTGGTTTTGATCTGAATGCAGTTTGCAGCTCTCAACTTCAAAGTTTCACGGCCGCCATGCAATGACTACACTGGCCAGCTGGAGCATGGTGAAAAGCAGTGTCTCTTCTCGTAAACAGCACTTCATGCCTTCCAATAAAATAGGATCGGGCAACTTTCGACATAGGCCAGCCAGGACGGATTAGAAACTTTGCGCAATTCGCACCAGCAGTCATTTTTGCACTTGGGTTGGGGTGAGATTGAAGATCCCCCAAAACAAACATTCAAGGGTAATTTTTGGTACGAAATCATCACATATCATCACAGGTTAACCGGTTTGGGAAAATGTGATTGGCTGAAATCCCCAAGTCTCCTGCTTGAATCTCCATTTGTATTTTTGCTTAAACCATCCCTTTCTTGCAGTATCCAATTTCAATTTTTTCAGCAGTCATTGAAGGCTCCTGGCAGCATGCGGCCAGGTCGGCTTTGCCTGACTGCCCTTCATTACCAAAGACCAGCCTCTGGAGGCACGAAACCAAGCCAGATCATGCCATAAACGGTGTCAATTTTTTCAAAAATGGGGGTACCCCAATAGCTGGATGGTTTATAATGGCAAACCCTATTTGAATAGATGATTTAGGGGTACCCCCATTTTAGGAACCCCCCAACTCTGTCAATTTTGTCAAGTGTCAAATTCTCCGTGAGGCAAATCTGCCCTTCCGAGGAATTCGCTGGAGCCTCAAGGTTCAGTGGTCGTGGTCTGCAAGTGAAACTAAGACCAGATGACTGCCAACTTGTGCAAAACCCAATACAAGTTCCCTACATCCTTCAGCATGGTAGTCCTGGTAAGACATCGTTTTCTTTGCAGAAAGCTTGTTCACTGGTCACCAGATGAAGTGGTTCGTTTCGCATGAGGTGAAGCACCGTGCTACTGAGCTCTTCCAGTGACCTTGCAGCGGTATATGCTGCTTACACATATGGGTCTGTCATGTTTGTCCAAAAAATCTGTGATACACAGAAAAGGCTGTAGAAATGACAACTAGTTTGATGTCGGGTGCCCAACGGCCTAAGGTATCTCAGCACAGCCATTGCGCTGGCACAGAAGGCACAAGCAACTAATTGGGGAATGGTACTCTCTGGCAATCGAACACTGCAGTACAGAAAACCCACATAATATCTGTATATATATATAATATATAAATGATATAATATATATATAATATAATATTTATAATATATACAATATAATATATATGATGTATATAATGTAATATAATATATATAATATATATAATATATATAATATATATAATATATATAATATATATAATATATATAATATATATAATGTAATATAATGTAATATAATATAATTCAATATATAATATAATATAGTAGAATATAATATAGTATACTATAATATATAATATATAATATATAATATAATATAATATAATACAATACAATACAATATAATATAATATAATATGATATGATATGATATGATATGATATATATGTAATATATATATATATAATATATATAATATAACATGATATATGATATATATAATATAATATAATACAATATAATATAATATGCTATAATATAATATAATATAATGTAATGTAATATAACATAATAAAATATCATATAATTTAACATAATATAATATTATATAATACAATATAATATAATATAATATAATATAGTATAATATAATATAATATAATAATATATATATACTTTATAATACCAGTAGTACCCGCACGAGGCGGGGCAGAAGTTGCCTTAGGGATATACTATAAGACCTTTCTCATCTATAGAACTTGCATGCGCCGTGCGCCAGCCAGGCCCGTGCGTGCGTGCATTCTGCGAAAGTGGTGTCCTGTTTCACATGTCACATTTGAAGCTCCACTTCGCACTTCACACTTCTCACTGCAATCTTCACACTCCACACTTCACACTTCACACTGGTCTCTTCGCACTCCACACTTCACTTCACACTGCACTCTTAAGACTCCACACTTCACACTTCACACTTCACACTTCACAGTCCGCACTTCAAACTTCTCACTTCATCGCCGGCTGCAACCACTTTACACGGAAAAATGCAAGGTTTCGTGCTCCGGCTTCCTCCCCAAAACAAAGCCCAGGCAACATTCATGCAGCCATTACAATACGTTTCGCAGCATCACGTAGCAAACCTGCGTCTCTCTACACACATGGCAACACCAGATGACAACAATCATGCAGCCATTCCAATGCGATCTGCAACCACAGATTCAAGAAACGCATAGAACTACGCACATAGACACAACCACTCGTTGCAGAACACACAGGAGGAACCCATTACGTCCGGAACGACCCCAGCTGCAACTGCGGCACACACGAGGTACCTTTCATCGCCGGCTGCAACCACTCTACACGAAAAAATACAGGTTTCGTGTTCCGGCTTCCTCCCCAAAACAAAGCCGAGGCAACATTCATGCAGCCATTACAATACGTTTCGCAGCATCACGTAGCAAACCTGCGTCTCTCTACACACATGGCAACACCAGATGACAACAATCATGCAGCCATTCCAATGCGATCTGCAACCACAGATTCAAGAAACGCATAGAACTACGCACATAGACACAACCACTCGTTGCAGAACACAGAGGAGGAACCCATTGCGTCCGGAACGACCCCAGCCGCAACTGCGGCACACACGAGGTACCTTTCATCGCCGGCTGCAACCACTTTACACGGAAAAATACAAGGTTTCGTGCTCTGGCTTCCTCCCCAAAACAAAGCCCAGGCAACATTCATGCAGCCATTACAATACGTTTCGCAGCATCACGTAGCAAACCTGCATCTCTCTACGCTCATGGCAACACCAGATGACAAGAATCATG